CGGGGTTCACAGGTTTGGATCCCGGGCGCAGACCTACGCACCACTTATCAAGCCATGCTGTGGCAGGCATCCCACGTGTAAAGTAGAGGAAGATGGGCACGGATGCTAGCCCAGGGTCACTCTTCCTCCGCAAAAAGAGGAGGATTGGCAATGGATATTAGCTCAGGGCTAATCTTCCTCACACGCACACACACAAAGTAGGATAGAGGTTATGCTCCTCTTAATTCTAAAGTTTTTTTTTTTTTTTAACCACTTTATTGAGGTATGATTGACATATAAAAAGCTGTACATATTTAATATATACAACTTGATGAGTAAAGTTTTAAAGTCTTGTTAACCCAATCACAGCCATTGGCTTCTATGTTATTTGGATGAGAGAAGATTGTGTTCAATCTGGAATGTGTAATTCTAAGTCCCCATGTGGATAGAGCTTTAAAGATCTAGGCCATTGGGGATTTGTCACATTAAAACAAACTATCCATTAATACTACTGTTTTAATTGAGAAAGTAATCAGAATTAATCAGATATTCTTTCTACCTTAAATGCTTGTCTGCAGGCTAGAGAATGTATCTTGTAAAATATAGTCTGTTTTTCAAAGTATTATTCTGACACTTTTTCTGTAAAACATAATTATCAATTAAGCCACCTAAATCCTTTTGGCACTAGATGGGAATAAACAAAGCCACGAATAAGTACATACTAAGTATTGCATTTCCCGTCATTACTCAGGGCTATACACATTTTCCTAATGGCTTATCAGAAGTTCAATAGATAATGTAAAGCTATTTCATAAATCTATTACCCTGTTTTTCAGGGTTCAGTGAAGTATCCTGAAATTTTTGTATGACTTTACTTATTATAGAAACATATATGTTTGTAAGGGTAAAATGCAGCGGGAAATAAAAAGAATAATGAAAGGCTAACTCTTTCTGAAATCTAGCTGTGTGTATTGTTAAATTTCTTTTACTGCATTTAGAAATACTATATCTGTAGAAAAATCAACCAGTTTTTCTTCTATGTGGCTTTGTTTCATCATTGGCATTGAGTTGAGAGATAATAGGACCAGAATATAGTTCATGCATCCAGCATGATAGATCTTTGGCTTTGGCTTGAAAGCTTTTTTGCTTGTTTGTTTGGGTTTGTTTTGTTTACCACTTTAACTATTTTTAAATATACAGTTCAGTGGCATTAAATACATTTACGCTGTTGCACAACCATCACCACCATCCATCTCCAGAACATTTTCATCATCCCAAACTGAAACTCCATACCCATTAAACAATAACTCCCCATCCTCCCCCATGTTTGTTTGTTTTTAAAGCATGAGTATCGTAGCCTTATACTACTATAAGAGAGCACTGTAACCACCAGGAGGCATTAAGCACACTCTTTCCAATACTTTATGTTTTCCACTAAGGCATTAATGTATTGCCCAGTAACATTGGATAGTAGATCAAGTCTGGCCCATTTGATATTTATTTGTGTGGGCAAAATTGAAAAACCTGAAGTTTTAAGATTGAGTTGTCATCTCAAAGGCACTGAGATCTATCACTGATTTACTAATACAGGGAGACTTGAAAATTACTTCTGTGGGCAGGCTTTACCTTGATCCTCCACAGTGGCTATGGCCTCTTTGATATTTAGCTAAACATGTTTGAATTTAAATATATCAAGAACTATGAGTCTCCATGAGAAACCATGCTATACTGGAGATAGACAGATTGGTGTGACTATTGCTATGAAGGCATAATCTACTAAGATGGCTCCCTGTTGCCAACAAAGTAAGTCCAAACTACTTCACACTACTATATATATTAGACATCTCTGTTTGTAGTATTAGAAATAACTGAGCTTTTGTTCTTAACACAGCTCATTAGTTTCTATGTCACAGGCACTGTAAATCTTGTAATTGATCATGTTTCCTTCTTTGCCTTTGAAGCTAGAATGCTCAGAGATAAGTTTGATTTACCTCTAGCAAGTATATAGAACCTCATGGCATGTATTAGAGGACTTCTTCATTCTTAGCTTCATTTTATATTCTCTTTATCATACTGCCTGCCTTTGATTTTTATTTATCCTATATAATCAGCTTCATGACTGATTCATAGCCTCATTTCCATCCAACCACCCCTACTGCCACTTCTTTCTTGTTTCTTCCATTCCCATCTTACTGAATATTTCATTCCTCCCTGTGTTGGGTCATGCTGTTCCCTTTGCTTAGAACAGTTCCTCTATTGTAAATCTCTCCTCCACCCCCACTCTTACTCCTTGTCAACTTACTCAGCTCATCATGAGCCACAATCCTTTCTGGACACTCTGTCCTTCACTCTGTAAAATTGGCTGATCCCTCCTTTGTGGTCCACTGCCTCCATTCAGACTTCTGTTATTGCACCTAGAAAAATTTATTGAACTCATGTTCACAAAACAGTCTGCCTCTGCTAGACCATGGGCAGGGATAAGATCTTACTATTCTTTGAATCCCACCATTGTCTTGCACATAGTAAAGGAGGGGAGGAATGAATTAAGCAGTGTCAGATGTGGTAGATGAGTCATGCTAACAATTGAAAAATGACCATTGAATTTTGCAATGTGGAAGTAATTGGTGACTTTTCTCAGAGCCTTTCTGGGGAAGGGTGGGGATAGCCTGATTCTATTATAGAGGGAAGGAGATTGGGAGCAGGGTAAAGAGGAGTAAGGATTGGGGGAGGGGAAGAGGTGGAGGAACAAGGAGAAAGGGAGTAGAGGAGAGATGGACTAGGAGGGAACCAGAGAGAGAGAGTCAAGAACTGGTAGCCACAGAGGACAAGGATCTTTTTGTTAAGAATTTTCTTTTTAGGTGGACAGGTTCCTGTCTTATGATTTGTATCTCTTAAATAGCAAATACATTATCCTGTGCAGAGTGATGTTTAATAAATGCTTGAGGTTTTTTGCTTCAGTGCTTTTTGGTTTTCAGAACATCTAAATTGTAAAGTACTCATGCATCTTAAATAATACTAACCAGTACAGAGTTATTTTTGTTTGACTCTTTAAATTCTTAGTTTTTTTCATATGAAACAAATCTGAAAATGTAGAAGTGAAAAAACCACCCTCAATCCACCACTCTAAGACCACTATCATTATCTTTGATTCAGGTTTTTCTCATGCTGCTCCATCTGAACAACAACTCTCTCACCTCCACCTGAGCACCACTGTCATTTTTTTTAAGATTTCCTGGTAGCACTGCCTCTCCTGTGTAGCCTTTCCTGACACTCATTTGCCTACCTTAGAAAACTGACTGATCCCCACTTTGCCTCACTGTACCCTAGACAAACTTCTCTCATTTTACTGCTCTCGTTTGTACAGATACCTGTTTACTTGAACCAGACCAATCTTTCTTTAAGGCAGAGTAAAATTATTTTTTTGCTCTGTATTTTAGAGTTGTAAAATGGTATCCTGATTTTTTGTCTTAGTATTATGTTAAAAGCATTTTTCTATTTTATTAAATTGTTTTCATAAATGTAATTTTAACAACTGCTTATTTCATCTAATGGGTGACTGTCTCCTTCCTGTTGTTGGCTATTCAGATTGCCTTTAATTTTTTTCAGTGAAAGATTGCCAAAATTGACAATGAAAAATAAATAGCTCTTTAAATTTACTATAAAATATCTGTTTCTTTGTTAAAAGGTATATGACAGAGCAAAAGCATATATTCAGAAATTCCAAAAAATGTTTACTTATTTATAGAAAATAAAAATAACTTTACCAAGATTGAAAGTCTTTCTGCAAGTAACTCACACCATTCCGAGAGTCCAGAGGTCAGGGCTCAAGGTGTGTTATCCAACTTGCAGTTGTGCTTTTCCAGCAGTTGTTACTAATCAACCTAATGTGATGAAAATAGTGTTCCGTGATATTGGTTGCATGCACTAAGGGGAAAATAAAGCACTAAAAAATTTGATTTCCTGAACAGATTAGCTATCATAGATACTGAGCAGATTGCTGATGAATTTATTTAAGGAAGTTTGCTTGAATGTGTGTGAGAATGCTTTCCCAGAGCTGAGGACAGTTGAGTGTATAGTCAGCTGCTTAAGAAGGGAAGTTAGAAGTTACCTCGAATTTACATTTTAATAATAACTTAGGCACTATTTAAAATTTTATGGAGACTGACTGCTGCTCTCAGCTGAAATAAAGAGAGCATTAAACAAAGAGTCAGAAAAGCTGGGTTCAAATCCTGGCTCACCTAACTTGCAAAGTGTGAGACCATCAGCACCCTTGTTAATCTTGTATCCTCCCTTGCCATCACCAAAGCACCCTGGAGATGCTCAGAGGAGATGAAGAATGTGAACATGCCTGAAAATTATAATGTATTACACAAAAATAAGTTGTCTTATTATTCCCCAATAGGCAGATGGCTCCATTCTGAACCCATAGCCAGTTGGGAACATGGCATTTCCATCTTGAAAATGCCTGCCTGATAATTAGATTTTATATAGGCACTTTGGGCTTTAGCACTTGAGGATTTAAATAATATCATACCAGAAGAAGTGTTTTTAAAATATTTTAAAATTACCTTTGCTTTTATGTCTACGTACTGGATATAATTTACATTTCCCATGAGTACAGCCACTATAGCTTTTTCCTTATTTATGAATTTTAAAATTTGAATGCTTTTTTTAAGTTATACTTAAGATGCTTTGAGAGGGAAGGTAAAAATAGAAATTTAGGGGAAAACCACTGAATGTGATTCCTTAAAGAATAGGATAATCTTTGGAAATCTCTTTTAATATATAAAATCTGTTTAATTGTAAGTTTATGTAAACCTATATCTGTTTCATAAATCCACTTTAGCCTTACTGGGTGCAGGTTCTTTGAAATCTCTGAGGAGGTAGTTAATGGATGGATTGTTGAAGGATAAAGTAGGCTGCTTAAGTTTCAAAGCCTGATGCTTTACGGGAGATAGCCATTGTTACCAAAGCCTGGCACCAAAGTTCAGTTCATTGACTGTGAACCTGCTCTGCCACAGATTCTGAATCCGGACGGTCCCTGCGTAGATTGGAAGCAGTAACAGTGCACTCCTTTGAAGAGGAAGGAGAGCATTTGAGCAGTTGAAAACACAGAATGTCTGAAGAAAAAGATTGTGGTGGTGGAGATGCTCTCTCCAATGGCATCAAAAAACACAGGTAGGAGATAGCCTTTAACAGTTATCATTGCTGTCTTTTTATTATAAAGTACATTTGGGTTCGTAAAGAAAAGTACTCCTCCTCTTGGTTTTTTTGTCTCTGTATTGGATATTTATATTGCTATATCACCTCAAGAAAGGATTTGGCTTAAGTACTTTGTCCATTTAAGAGAAGAACATCATCTGTAATTGTAGGAACAAAGCACAAAACTTGGATTTTAGCAACCGTAGTTTTAGGGGAACATAAATCCTTTAGTTGGTCATTTAGAAAGGCTCTTCAGAACTATCTATTGAAATTGATGCTGGGTTCCTTTTTTCATCATACATCTTTTATGATTCTGCCTCCCAATGCTATTTTAGTTTCTAGTCATTTGATCTTCTTGTTGGTTTTATTAAGAGTGGATGGTAATATTGCCTGCCCGTTGATACAATTTAGTTACATTTAAACAAAGACTTTTATTAAGACCCAGGGTTTGTTGAACATATCCATTTTATGCTGTCTAATAACATTAGTATCTTTTTATTCCCTTGATTTAGTCCTAGACATTGTCCCAAATTAATGAGATGTAACAGACACTAGAGTTCTCTGGTTTCAGAGCAAGTTTACAGACACAGTGGCATATGTGCATGCTGGTATTCGTAGAGTAAAATATTTTATCAAATTATCAGTGAAGAATATATCCTGTTGTCATTGTAAAAAGTCCTTATGGGATAAGGAGTTATTAACGGTTAATTTCTACAAGATAGTTTTTTGTTTAAGATTGTAAAGCTCTAACTCCATGTCTGCCCCATGATTCTGGCCACAATTGGTCTCAGTTATTGTTCTGCTGGAAAAAATGTACATGTCACTTCTGAATTCTGTGTAATCATCCCTTGTTAACAAAAATGTCTCCGTTTGTGCTTATTTTGAAAAGATCAGTGAGTTTTAGGTAACTAACTAGATAAAACCAGAGTTTTCTTTGGTTGGGTTAGAGGTATCCTCTAAACCTGCTTATTGATGGTTATCTTTTGACGGAGTTTACCATTGCAGATTATGTGGTTAGCAGTGAGTGTCTTTCCTGATTCCCTTCTGCAGTTACCATCAGCTCCTTTGGGGGTCCAGGGCTAAGATCTGTGCAGACCATGAAATACCTAACAGGAAACCTGGCAGGTCTGCCTATCTCTACAGAAGACAGCTTTTAACTATTCAACACATGCATCCTGACAGTCCAGTGAGTACACAGATGACATCTTTGGAGTGTTCAAAGAAGCATACAAGTAGTGGAGATAATTGTTAAAATATCAGAAAGAGCACTGTGCTTAGATGCTGTCGTACCCTAAGGCCAGAGGGAGATTTCTCTGCTTTTCAAGGCCAGTAGCCCTTTTGTGTGTGTATTGTAATCATAACAGTAGTTATTTTGCATTTGACAGAAATTTATTATACTATATTCATATATTCTGTGTTCTGTCTTAGTCAAACCCAGAATGGTACAGATGTGAAAGTTAAGATAAAATTGTTCAAAAAATGAAATTGGGACAGATCACTAAGCAAAACTACGAAGAAATGCAACTATGTAATGACCTAACCAAAAAAGTTAAACTGATAAACAAGATGCAGCTTATTAAACCTATAAATGTAAAACATCCTTCAATTGTTTAGAGGAAACGAGGACAATTTAGGAAATTGTCAGTAGTCAACTATGTGGGAAAACATAACAATTTACTGTTTTAAAAAGTAGCTATCATAAGAGTTTTTTTAAAGCCTGTCTTTTATTCATAAAGTTCTTCTCTAATCAAATAAACAGAGCGTGTGCCACACATAATTTTAAAAGTTTCATTTTAGAATAGGAAAATAGGTGAAGTAGTCAATGTTATCAGATCTCTCTTGCCTGTGCCCTGAATTGCCTTATAAGTAATCTGTTTATAATGGGAAATTATTATATTAATAGTAAGAGTAATTTGAATCAATAGTAATTTTGATGATGCTTTAGAAAAGCGGAAATGTGTTGGTGCTGGGGGATTGGCCTGAAGTGACCATGAAATTTATTTGAAGCCTTTTTTATCTTTAAAAGTCATGTGAAATTTTTATTTGACCTTGTCATATATTTCTGTTCTCTTTAACATTGAAAAATAATTTACTCATCACTTATTTAACTTTCCCATAAAAATCTTACATTTTCCCCTCACCCCATCTCACCACTTACCCCCAGGATATACACACTTAAATTTAGGAAGGAGATGGGAAGAATGTGGATTGTAAAATTAAAAAGAGAGAAGTGCATATTTTAAAATGGGAAAAGAGAAGCCGTACAAATTATAGTTCACATAGAAAGTATTAAATCATAGCTTAACTAATTTGCTGATAAAATGGAACAAGGATTTTCAGCCATTTTTTTTTTTTAGCTGTGGAACCATTTGTGCAACAGGTATTTAGTGTGGAAACTATTAAAATCTCAACCACCTTCAGAGATTGATGAGGCTCCCTTAGACAGGTCCTGTCCTCTCTGCTCCCCAGTCTCCTACTTCAGTGGGAATCACTATATCTACTTCATGTCCTTACCCAACGAAAATATTTAAGCTTTACTTTCTGTAGTATTTATTATAGAAACAGGTCCCCCCCCCCCAGTATAACATAATAAACCATTCCAAACTATGTTTCTGCTCGTATTTAATGTGTTAGTATACACAGAGTACCTGGAAGAGTGCCAGCCACATAAGAAGCGCTTAATGTAAGTTATCTGTTTCAGCTCTCTTTATTCCCTTTCTCCTCAAAAATGGTGATTTGCTTTACTCTGAAGAACCTCTGCCCTCTTGTTTCCTTTTCTACCTCATTATTGTAGGGTGACATCATGGGGTGCAGTTTGAAAATCTCTGACCCTTAATAAGCTGTAAGGCATATGTTATATTAATTTGATATAAAATAAGTCATGCCAAACTAATTGAATTTATTTCTGACAGTAAAAATATAGATATTATGGATTTTTAATCCATCCCATGTGATAATTACCCACAAAATAATTCTTCTTTTAACTAGGTAACTTAAGTCATCTCTTAAATAAAAGTTTGGGCTAAATAAAAATTGAATTCTCCTCTCACTCTGAAAATCCTGATTGCAAACTGAAATCTTGAAAAATGGTTTTTCCACCATACTGAAGTTTTAGAGAACTTCTGCAATGTCTCAATATTATTAGGCCTGGGAGAAAAGTATTTTATGTTTTTTATTCACTCTAAATTACTGATAGGCTGTGTACTCAGCTGGCCATACTGTAGTGTTGTGTGTGTCTTTAGGTTTTTAGGTTAGTTGTAGAGAAATATCAACAGAAAGAATCAGGGTTTTATTTAAGACCTAGAACCAAAAATATTGCAGAGTTAGAAAATAGACAAAATAAATGTTCCATTTTGACTGCACTTTTTTTTTCCAGAAACTACATTGAGTCGCTCTGTGGAAAATTAGACTACACCATTCTAGTCAGGTTTATATTTACAAGACGTCTTGTCATCTTGTGTCATCTTGGCTGTGTTCCATAAGATCGGTTCTCTACTCTTGGACCTAATTTATTACATTTATTCTTTTTTTTTTTTTTTTTGTGAGGAAGATCAGCTCTGAGCTACCATCCATGCGAATCCTCCTCTTTTTGCTGAGGAAGACTGGTCCTGGGCTAAAATCCGTGCCATCTTCCTCTGCTTTATATGGGACACTGGCACAGCATGGCCTGACAAGCGGTGCATCGGTGCACGCCCAGGATCCGAACCGGGGCTACTGGCAGCGGAGCGCGGCACTTAACCGCTACGCCCCCGGGGCCAGCCCCTACATTTCTTCTGAGCTCTAATCTTTTAACTTGTTAGCAGTTTGACCCAAGTTGTTATATTTGATAAAGATAATGATATTTCTTTCATCTGTGTCGCTGGATATATGGTGTAAAAGATACTAATGTAGAACAGATTGGTCAGAATCTGAAATGTTGGATCCTTGTTTTGATTCTGGAAATGGTATTCACTATATTAAAAGTATTAATAGAGTAAAGGAGAAAAACATATGATCATCCTGATAGATAAAGAAAAAACATTCAATAAAATTAAACAGTCATTCATGATTAATAAATATCTTAGCAAACCACCAATAGAAGACAACCTCTTCAGTCTGGTTAAAAGTTACAGCAAATAAATACTTGACAATGAGATACTAAAAATAGTTCTCATAATCTCAGGAATAAGGCAAGGAAGCCTGCCATCATCATTTCTATTCAGCATTATTTGCAGGCCATAGCCAGAGATTTAACATAACCACAAAATTTAGAAATAAAACCGATAAGTTCCACACACAAATTATTAGAGTTAGTAAGAAAGTTTGAGAAGGTTGCTTTTATACAAAATCAACGAGTTACATTTCTAAGAACAATCAACAGACAGAAACTGCTATTAAAACTGAAGGAAAAAAGATATTTAGAGTAGTTATTAAAAAGTCACTTACATAGGAATAAATCTTAGCCAAAAAATGTGTAATAATAAAACTTATTGAAAGTCATAAAACTTGTAGGGCCGGCTCCGTGGCTTAGCGGTTAAGTGCGTGCGCTCTGGTGCTGGCGGCCCGGGTTCGGATCCCGGGCGCGCCCCAAGGCACCACTTCTCCGTCCAACGCGAGGCCGAGTCCCACGTACAGCAACTAGAAGGATGTGAACCTACGACATACAACTATCTACTGGGGCTTTGGGGGGAAAAACATGAATAAATAAAATCTTTAAAAAAAAAAAAAAAGAAAGTCATAAAACTTGTTGAGAAGGAAAATTCGTTGTCATAAAGATGTTTTTGCCACATTGATCTGAGGACTCAATGTAATTTTAATTAAAATTGTAGTGTCCTTTTCCATGGAAGTTGAAAAATGAGTTCTGAAATATATATTTAAGCCCAGAGGGCTTTAAAAAGCCAAGGTACTGCTCAAGAACCAGGTTGGGGGGAAGGAAGGCATTTGCTGTACCAAATGTCAAGACTGATTACAAATCTTTAATGCAGAATTGTCCTGGA